GTGCAACAGCCTAATGTCTAACAAAATAATAACTAGAAAATATTTAGTTTTTATTTAAGCCACGCATTGACTTCTCCTCTCTAGCTGTGGAAGTCCTATGTGGCATCTTTTTCCAACAGAAGGCTGTTTCATTGACACTGAAGATCTGTTGTGCAGCGTAGCCACCTTCATCAGTGATTTTAGCTAGATCTAGATCACTTGGTACAGCTTCTCCATCTCAGCATTTGGTGACTCATCTTGTACTTTCATGTTATGGTGATGGCTTCTTTCCTTCAACTTCATAAACCAACCTCTGCTATCTTCCAGCTTTTCCTCCAAAGCTTCCTCACCTCTCTCAGACTTCATAGAATTAAAGATAGCTAGAACTTTGCTCTAGATTAGGCTGGAGCAGAGGGAATGTGTCAAAGAATGAACCCACTGCACCATTTTGTCAGAATGTCTGGATAGATTTCAAAAGCACTAAATAATAGTGGTATCAATCTATTCTTTTCTTCTAACCCTGCTCCTCTGAGTTCCAGGGTTCAGCAGGAATATGTCAAAACTTTCTCCATATCCACAATAAGGCTGTTTTGCTTTCCTATCATTTGTGTATTCACTGGAATAGTGTTCAAGACTACTCCAGTGTTCACTGGAGGAGCCTTCAAGAATTTTTCCTTCACATTCACAACTTGGCTGTTTGGAGAAAAAGGGCCAGCTTTCAGCCTATCTTGGTGTTCAACATGCGTTACTCACTAATAATCATTTCTAGCTGTTGACTTAAAGTGAGAGATCTGCATTTTCTCCTTTCACTTGAACACTTAGAAGCTATTGTAGTTGGCCTAACTGCAATATTGTTCAGCCTCAGGGAACGGGGAGACCCAAGGAGAGGAAGAGACAAATGGGGGAATGGCTGATTGGTGGAGCAGTCAGAACACACAGGACATGTATCAATTAAATTTACCATCTTATATGGGCATGGTTCACGGCACCGCAGAACAATTACAATAGTAACATCAAAGATCACTGATCGCAGATCACCAAAACAGATATAATAGTCATGAAGAAGTTTGAAATATTGTGAGAATCACTAAAATGGGATACAGACATGATATGAGCATATACTGTTAGAAAACTGGCAATGATAGACTTGCAGGATGCAAGGATGAAGAGCTTCAATTTGTAAAAAATGAAACATCTGTGAAGCGCAATTAAGCAATACACAATAAAACAAGGTGTGCCTGTTTATTTTATTTTGTATGCACACAAAAATATGTGTGTATATATGTATCTGATATATATGTGTGTGTATATATACACATATTTTGTGTGTGCATATATATTTTTACCATTATTTTTCATTGCAAAAATCTGAGAGATAATATAAGATCATAGTTTTGAGGTTTTAAACAATATAATATATTAACATTTGTATACAAATATGGCAGATACTACTCAACTTCTTGAAAACATATATTTTGAACCCTTCCTCTATTGGAGATAGGAATTTATCCATATTTCTTCATCCAATTTCTAATGTGACTGGTAACTTGTTTTCAAGTTGACTGCATAATAATGAGCTCTAACTTGTAAATGATATAAGTTCACAACTTTGGCACAAATGCAGTTGAAACACATTAAAAAATCAGAAAATAAATGGTTTCAATATAAAAAGTTTTACTTTTGTCTTAGAAAGTTAACAGTTTAGATAGTTAAAAACTGACTTTGGCTTCATGAAATTTATAAACAAAATATTAGTTTCTGTTGCATTTTAAATAGCATTAAAATTATATTTAATATTCATATTCTTTTAACAGTAGATGGCAAATAAATTATGAATGCATCTAATATTTATTGGCATCCATAAGGCAAATAACATTGTACTGAATATAGGAAAATAATCTGAGCCATTCACTTTCTATTTTTCCTTCTTTATTAATATATGTACAACATAGAATAATTCCAATATTAAGCCAAAATTTCATATATAAAATTCATAGAAAACTTACGTTTCAAAATGTTTCCATGAATAATATCTATTTTTTGGTACATTCTCTTTCAGACATTATGTTTTAAAATCTATAAAATACTTATTTGGCTGAGCATAGTGGCTCACACCTGTAATCCCAAAACTTTGGGAGACCAAGGCGGCAGGATCATTTGAGCCCAGAAGCTGGAAACCAGCCTGAGCCACCTAGCAAGACCCTACCTCTACAAATTTTGTTTTAAAAAAATTAGCTAGACATGGTGGAGCATGCCTGTGCTACTTGGGAGACTGAGATGGCGGGATTACTTGAGCCTGGGAGGGCAAGGCTGCAGTGATTTACAATTGTGCCACTGCACTCCAACCTGGGCAAAAGAGTGAGACTCGGTCTTAAAAACTAACAAAAAAATAATCAAATGTCAGCGTTGTAAATATTTATGATTCCAAGCAGACAGTTCATATTTGAGCATCAATTGTTTAAAGATGATGTGAGCGGTTTCTGACAGAAATCTTATATCCTATACATGCCCTGTACACAATACTTAGAAAACATGCCTTTATGATGTTTTCCAAGATAAGGTCAGAAAGGCAACTAAATGTGATTATGTGAACCCAAAAAAAAAAAAAAAAAAAAGAAACAAACAAAAATAGTTATTACATTTCTCATCCTAGAAATTGGTATTCTTTCTTACCAAAATAGGCTAAGTAACACAGGGCATTTTGTGCCACATAGCTCATTCACTCAGGTTGATGATACTTTAAACAATTTATGAATGGTTCATTGGCACTACTTCCTGAAAGCAAAATTTCTCAATCGATTATAGTTGCTGCATGGAAAATATGTTTGAACATAAAGTAAGCCTATGGATGTACACCTATTTTCTAGTAAAATAAAATCTATATGCAGCAGATCAATATTTCTAATGGCAGAGAAACTATGGTCTTGGGCCATGAGAATGAAGGCTACAAGACCTTCAGGGCACACACACCTAACATATAGCAGGATGGATATTTATTTTATTCTTGATTTAAATTCAACCAGTACTCTTATTAAAGTATCTTAGCAGTTTAAATAATATTCAATGAAACTATGAGATAATTTAATGGGGAAAGGATAATAATTTATTGTGTGTATTATGCACTCTACCATATTAATTTCATTTACTCCTCCAATACCTCCCTAAAACAGATTAATTACCATGATTTTTAATGTTGAAGAAAACTGAGGAACAATGTTGTAAGAAATGAAGCAGGTAAATGCAGAGGAATAATCTTCACCACTGTTGTTGAAAAGCACTATCAGATGTTGAGATCATAGCTAACATATTTAAAAGCCAATAGCAAAAATATTGATGATAAGGTGTGATCCACAAGTCTTAGGAATGTGACCCATTCCAAATCACCAGAAGTGTTATGCACTTCACAGGACATCTCCATTACCATCGGAAAGGAGGTAAAACACCCACTTATGCCCTTTGTTTTCCACAGTTGTTCTGTCATTGATGCCTAGTTTCCATGTACTTCTCCTGATCTATTCTCCACCTTCTCTCCCCATCCGGGCCCTGGAAGGCTGGACGATAAGGATACATTAATAAGCCTTTTAAACTTCTGGTGTATGATTGGATTTGGCCAATGGGTAACACCACCAGCAGATTAATATGGAGCGAAGAGACCCTTTGAGATCAGCATGGACTAACTGCTTCCCTTAACTAAACATCTTACCATGTACTCCCTTCTCACTCTAGGCTCAGGTAACTGAACCTCCTCTCACACTCTTTGGTCTGTAGGTGATAAAAGCCCTCACTCTTACTATCCCTTATGGCTTTGCTATGCATACTATTTCTCTAATAAACAATCCCCTTATTAATATTTTTTCAACTTACGCAATATCAATAAGTATTTCTTGCCAGGATATTGACTGACACAACGGCTGATGAAATCTTGAAACTCTCTTGGTGAATAGAAGATGGCTATCAGAGGAATATCAGTGAAAAGAGTGTTTCTAGTTTTGTGCTGTTCTTCCATACAATTAACCATGTTTCTTCTTTCTTTTCTTTTTTTAGGGAAAGGAGATATGTTTGATAAAAACTATATTGCTTCAGTCCATGAAAAATTAATGTTTTCAATGGAAAGACAATATTCAAATATGAAGTGTTTTTAAATGTTGAACTCACAGGTTTATCTAAACATTTCTAATACTAGAAAATTTATTTCTGCAAAAATAAAGGCCCGTAAACATCTATTATTGTTGACTTCCCTGTCTAAAATTGTAAACATCTCCAAATCCTTAGTCCTACAACATTTAAACATGAGAAAGCCACAGAAAACAAAGAAACCAATTCTTTTTTCCTGCATTCCACTCCAATTACGACTTCTTGAAAGAGTTATCTACAATTGATTTCCCTCTTTTACATTTCCCATTTGCTCTTAAAAAAGAGTAGCTTCAGAATTCTGCCCTTCCACTCCATAAAAAGTTCTCTCTCCAAAATCATCAAAAACCACTTTTTTGGCTTTTTCCAATTTATATTTTTTAGGCCCTCTCTTATTTGATCTCTCAGAAACATTTCAACCTGTGAAGATTTTGAAACTAAAGGATTTTTGCCTTTAAGATCCTTAGTCTCTTGTGACCCCACTATGTCTAGGACCACATCTTCTCAGTGTCTTCAATGTCTGCTTTTTTCTAAACAGTCTTTTGGCTGTTCCTTCAGGTTCTGCCTGCCACTTTATCTCTTTCCTCTCTCTTTGATCTCGTCTACACCCACAGCTTCAATAATCATACGCTGATGGCCATGCATCCTTATATTATCTTATTTTAGCTCTCTCCTGAGCTTTATATATACACTTCCAAACACATTCTGAACATTTTCATGTGCACGGGTCACAGGTATCATATACAACACATCTAAAATTGAAGCCACATCTTCCCCAAACATGTTCTTCTCCTATTTTCCCTAGCTCAAGCAATGGCACATGAGCTGACCTGATGTCCAAATTAGAAAGTTGGAAGTCCTTCTTTTTTTTTTTTTTTTGATTAACAAAAATCACTCAGACTACATTCTCTCCCTTTTACTTTCTGGAAGGAAGAGAAGGACATAATCAATGGCAAATGGTAGGTTGGAACAAAGCAAGACCAAGAGCCAGCTTCACGTTCAGGAGAGAAGGCTGTACCTCCTCCCTGTGCTTCTGGTGACCTATGTGTTCAGAAAAACTTCTCTAGTAGCAAACTATAGACGTGATCCCTGAAAACACAGTCTTGGAAGTCACTGTTGATTCCTTTCTCTTCCTTATCACCTGACCATCCCTTAAGTCTATTAATAATCTTTACCTTAAAGTCTAATCAATTGCTTTATATTTGAACTGTTGACATCTCCTAACCAGTCCCTCTTCCTCACTCCAATCCATCTCCTATCCAACTTAAGTGCCGTTATGTAGCACTGGCATGGTGGCACGGGGGTGAGGATTCTGCAAGATGTGGGTCCCGCTTCACTCTCCGGGATTCTTTCTACATTTCCAACCACAGGCTCTGCTCTAGCAACACAAAATATGCTTCACTCTAACGACTTGTTCTCTGCTCCTGGAACAATCTTCACTTCACTTGAATCCAGATCTCTGCTTTATTCATCCAATGACTATTTGTCTTTCCAAGTTTGGCTGTGTAATCACTCTTCTCATGAAAATGTAAAGACTCCCTAACACCATAGAGAGTTCCCTGTGTGCCTTCTAACATGAGACGCTTGTCTCTGTCATAGGATTGATCATATACTATTCCTCACTTTCACTGACTAGCCTCCTTCACTAATGAATAGCACATCGTCAGCCTGAGCTCTGACAGTGTCATATCTATCTGTCTCGTCAATACATAACATAATATGTGGCGTCAGTTAGGCTCTTAATGAGGTTTGTGAATAAATGAATGAATGAATGTGAGTTTACAAAATGGCATTCTAAACCAATAGGAAAGCTCCCAAAGACCGTTATATCTTCAAATGTTTGGTGAATTTTGACCACTAAATTTTCTTATTCTATAATTTTGTTCTAGAATTTTGTCCCCCATCTATTCCTAAAATAGGCTTATTTCCCTTTTGGAACAAAACTTCATAGGACTAGGCAAACTCCATTTTTCCCATGAATGCCTAGCATTATAAGGACACAGTACTTCCCTAAGCTTCTCTTTAAATAGCAGTCTTATTTGAAGCCAAATATCATATGACTATATTGAACTTAGTATGATTTCTATCAGCCAAATTACATTAGAGCTCTGATGGGAACAGGGATAAGTAATTTGGCAGGCTTTCTCTTTTCTATTCACCTCCATTTGCTTACCTTGCTTCTAAGAAAAGATTATAAGACCTGACAGGTTGACTTTATCTCAGAGAGAATATATAGGTAGGAAATAACAGGGAGTTGGAAAACCAATTTGTTAGTCTGAACCAGGAAAACAGTTTTACTGATTTAAGGCTAAAGCCTTTAAACATCCCAAGGTCATCTCTCTTTTCTTTCATTCATCTTTACTCCTCTTCCAATTTTTCCAGATTTCTAGAGGTCCCATACTACACAGGTCCCTGAAATAGCCCTTGCTTTCTTCCTTCCATCTTTCCTTCCCTCCTTCCCTCCTTTACTTCCTTCCTTCTTCCTTCCCTTCCTTTCCCTTCCCTTTCCTTCCTTCCTTCTCTGTCCCTCTCTCCCTCCTTCCCTCCCCCACTTCCTCCTTTCCTCCCTTCCCCTCTTCCTTCTTTGTCTCTCTTTCGTTCTTTTCTTTTCTTTACTTTTCTTTTTGAGACAGATTCTCACTTTGTCCCCCAGGCTGGAGTGCAGTGGTACAGTGGCACAATCATAGTTCACTGCAGCCTCAAACTCCTGTGCCCAAGAAATCCTTCCACCTCAGCCTTCAGAGTAGCTTGGACTACAGGCATGCACCACCACACCTGGTTGTCATTATTATTATTGCTATTTTTGTACAGATGGGGTCTCACTATGTTGCCCAGGTTGGCTTAAACTCCTGAGCCCAAGGGATCCTCCTACTTTGGCCTTTCAAAGTGCTGGGATAACAGGCCTGAGCCACTGCACCCAGACTCATTCAATGTTCCCCTCTTGTAGTTACATTTCAAACTGACTTTTACTATTCCAAAAAGTATGATCATTAACATATAGTTTATGGACCACTATCACTGCAGCACTAATCCAAAAATATAATATGGTATAATAAAATATAAAATAAGTAAGGAAGCAAGCAAATAACTAAATAAAATGCTAGGCGTTTGGACACCACCATGATTATGTACTCACTTTAAGATGTGTGTAATTACTTCTTACCTAACATTCTTCCTTCCCTACCTGACACTGGCTTATTATACTAAAAATCAAAGGTACTGAATACAAAGCTTGGGATTTCACATGCATTTGTTCAAATCGTCACAGCCTTGTAAGTTAGGTATTACTGAATTCATTACCTGGATGACAAAACAAAATTGGCAGCGCTCAAATAACTTCCCCCAAGACTGCATGCATGATAAGTAACAGGGATGAAATTCAAACCCATGTCTCTAGGATACATTATCCCATGAACTCCTAATGACATGACATTTACTCAGGTAATTATCCAGATCCAACCCTTAACTATATAGATCCATTAAAATCAACATTTGCCACTTGATGAAAAAGGAAATATCTATCAATATGCCCTTTACTTGAGCCATCTTCATGAACCTTTGTGGTAGGAAGAAACTCTAACTGAATTTCTTCAAACCACTTCCATGAACACGTTAATGAGATAAAAACACATAATGGCATCTTCCATATGAATGACTTCGATGTAAATGGGAAAGGAAATAGATAGGTTTAACAAAAATTAGCATGACCGCAAACAGGGTGTTTCTAGAAACACTAAGCAGAGGACAGATGCCTTGTTTTGCAACATAACACAGAAAGCTGTGTTATTAATGATACAATCACAGTAAGGCTCTAGAGAACTTCATTTTATCTGTGGAGCCTTCTCTCTCATTCTAAAGCAGCATTCCTTCCCTGACACACTGAGTTAGTGAAAGTAACTCACAGCAGATGAGTTCATCTTCATTGAAGTGGCAGTCAGGCACTCCATCGCATAGCAGGAGGGAAGGGATGCACTCATCTGTAGAGCATGGGAACTCCATGTTACTACAGAGTGGAGGGGTGGGGCTGGGAGGACAATCCATTTCATCGGATCCGTCCGTGCAGTCTTCATGTTCATCACATTTCCCTGAGAGAGGGACACATTGGAGTGTGTAGACACAAGAAAACTGATCAGCTTCACAGGGTGATGGCTGCGCTGGGACAGGACCTAAAAAGAGAGCAGGTCAAGTCATGTTGGCATTAGGGAATTTCCCTCCATCCAGTGTTGGGACATTACAGGTTGCATTTATTACTGTATACAATGAATTTTGTTAATCGAAGTAAATTAATTTCCAATTAGGATTAATAGGAAGCCCACAAAACAGGCAAATGTGATTCAATAATATGACTTATCATAATGTCAGGAACATAAAAAATTATTTTAATTTCAATAATTTGGGGGGAACAGGTGGTTTTTGGTTACACTGATAAGTTCTTTAGTGGTGATTTCTGAAATTTTGGTGCACCTGTCACCTGAGCAGTGTACACTGTACCCGATATATAGTCTTTTATCTCTCACCATATGCCGAATCTTTCTCCTTGAGTCCCCACAGTCCATTATATCATTATTATGCCTTTGCATCCTGATAGCTTAGCTCCCACTTATACATGAGAACATACAATATTTAGTTTTTCATTCCTGGTTTACTTCATTTAGAATAATGACCTCCAGCTCCATCCTAGTTGTTGCAAAAGACATTATTTCATTCCTTTTTATGGCTGAGTAGTGTTCCATGATGTATATATACTGCATTTTCTTTATCAACTTGCTGATTGATGGGCATTTGGGTTGGTTCCATATCTTTGCAACTGTGAATTGTGCCGCTATAAACATGCATATGGATGTGTCTTTTTCATATAATGACTTTTTTGGGGGTAGATACCCAATAGTGAGACTGCTGATCAAATGGCAGTTCAACTTTTAGTTCTTTAAGCCATCTCCATACTATTTTCCATAGTGGTGCTACTAATGTACATTCCCACCAGCAGTGTAGAAGTGTTCCCTTTTCGCCACATCCGCACCAACATCTATTGCTTTTGGACTTTTTAATTATGGCCATTCTTACAGGTACAATATTTTTTAAAAAGGCATCATTGACATGGAAACTGACACCTTCAAATTAAAAAAGACATTTTGATTTCTATGCCTTCAATTGGACTATTAAATCAGATTGTGCTCAAGAGTAAAGATACTTTCATGCAGTAAATTAGAAACTTTGGAAAGATGCACTCACAATTTTAGAATTTAAGGGAATTGTTACAATATCACAGTATCATTTATTTACTGTCTCTTAGTGGCCCCCACCCAGGGAATCTGGCTCTTGAGACCCTGGACAGGTTTGAGCCACAGACGTAGAGATCTGCTATGGTTTTGTCACACTGCACTCCGTCCTTGAATCTTCACTACAGGTGAAAGGCCATGTGCTGCCATATCTAAAGCCAGATAAAATCATAGTGTAATCTAAGATGTTACACTAGGAATCCTGAAGATAGCCTGCTTCAAATCCAACCAATTCATTTTACAAATGAAGACCCTGAAGCCCACAAATTTTAAATATCCAAAGACTCAATGCTAGTGTAATAAACTTTGGTTACATGAAACTTTTCTGCAGCAAATGTTTGAGTCCACATTAAGCCAAACTTAAAGCAGAGGCTGACTGCTGAGTGTTGACTATCTGATGTTTCTAAAGGTCAGAGAAGGTATGTGAATATATAGGACTTCACTAATTGGTGATTAGTGGGATGCTTCTTACACTCTGTATTGTCTCTGTGCTAGTTAGTGAGGGACTCAACAATATATTAAGGGGAAAATACAGAGCCAGGTAACAATGGAGGCCAGTTCAGGAATGGTTTATTTTGTTTTCTTGACATTTTAAACTATTTTATTTATGGGTTGTATGAGAATAATTTGTATTATATGTAAAGATGATATAGTGAGTTCATTTAAAAAATGAGATTTGAAAGTCCCTCTCCCTCCTCATTAAACCAATAGTGAAGATATATCTAGAAGGAATTTAGACTCTGATCCTATGACTAAAGTCATGTATCTGGGATACACGTGGCTGTGCTTAGGAAGCCTATGTTCATAGAAGTTAGTATATTTAAGT